ACCACCGCTCCCATGGCATTGAAGCTAAGAACCACCGCTCCCATGGCATAGAAGCTAAGAACCACCGCTCCCATGGCATTGAAGCTAAGAACCACTGCTCTCATGGCATTGAAGCTAAAGGGAGGCACTTTAGCAAAACTAGTGAGTCCTGGTGGAGATTATGCTGGCATTTGGAGACATTTCTGGTTGTGGAAACATGGTGTGGGAATTAAGATCGGTTTGGGGTGAGTTCCTATTTGCTATTCGCAATCATGAAATCAGCAACATAACAATCATAACTGTATCAGAGAGGAAGGAACACCACAACTAAACTAGTCCATGGCTTCCCAAACTTTGATTTTCACAGATCAAAGAAATTTCCCCCCAAAATGAACATTCCAGGGTCAGCACTGAGATGCCTATTAGGACCATTGAAATGAAACAACCACGCCAAGAAAGCAATCCAGTTGAACTGCCATCTCCAGCAACTTTGTGTTATAAAGGAAACACAATTCTGCATTCAACACTAAATAATTCAGGAAGAACATTCTCTCAGAAAAAAAGAAAGGCCCCTATATTCAATACAATTGGTTATGTGAAAACCCAAGGCCTTTGTGGCGCTGTCAGGTAAGTGTTGGACTGCTAACCCAAGGTTGGAAGTTCAAACCCATGGGCTGCTCCTTGGGAGGGAGATGAAGCTATCTACTCCCTTAAAGATGTATAGCCTCAGAAACACTATATTGGGTCTCTATGAGACGGAATCGATTCCATAGCAGTGGGTTTATGTGCAAAAGGGGCTTGCTTATCCTTCTTTTTCCCACTCCATTCTGGATGGGTGAAAGCTTTGTCATTCGGCCAGCAGCACCAGCCAGAAGCTCTGGGTCTGGCCACCCATGATTGAAGTGCTCTGTACGTGACAGAGCTGGAATCCAGAGTGGCCACTGTCCCATGGCTTCATCCCAAGGACCTTTGTGATTGTGGTCATGATTATGTTAAGGATGACCTCACCCTCTGAAAAGGTGAAAGCTCCCATCTCACCTGAAGACTCTGGGAGGAAGCAGTGGTGGTGAACGGTAGAGGTGTGTGTGTGTGTGTGTGTGTGTGTGTGTGTGTGTGTGTGTGGTGTTTACCTTCATTCAGTTTGCTTTGCTTAGTGCAAGGCTCTTTGTGAGTGTGTGTTACATGGTTAAGGCAGATGTTGAAATCCAAAGTCTATGCTGGATCCACTAAAGAAGTTGGTGAGTTCAAATATCCAAATAGTCACCAAATTCAGCCCTCCACTGCTTTTCTCAAAATAAAAATGTGTTGAAAGACAGCTAGAACCATTCTCTTACAGGTCGTCTGTGGCATTTCAGTCCTGGAGTGGCAAAGTTGAGCAGATGGGACAGAGACCTCATTGCCCCCCAAAGCCCAGAATGTTTATTTTCTGGCTATTTACTGGTTTCTGAGCCTTTCTTCACTAAGGCTACTGTTTGTCTACACGGGAAGTATAGGAACTGAGGTGGCATGTTAAGTAGCAAACTGTTGACAAAATGTCTATTATTGGTCTGCTCTGAAAGATCCAGAGGGCTTATCTGTTAGGGCCTTTGGCTTCTACTGAAAGTTTCTGGCTGACAGAGAGCAGGAAGGGCATGGCCCAGAGCAGTGTGAAGGAGAACGCCAAGTGTGATGGTGTCGGGACGGGGAGTTATGTCGAGACACCCATGTCCTCTGATCCCAAGAATGTGCTGATGGCTTGAACTGGTGCCCATGGGGGTCCACCCCGTCTCCTTTTCTGTTTTCCTTGGGGCTGCCAGATTAAGCAACTATATTTGGAATTTAGGTTCTAAAGATTAGCGAGCTCACACCAACTGGTGTGACCCAAGAATTGTAAGTAATATAATCCAAATCTAAAGGAGGGAATGGTATCAGAGCTAAAGTTGTGAACACTGGGTTTTCAGAAGGCTATGGATGACAGTGGAAGCCCGAAATCCATCCGTAGGGCCCATACATGGAATGAGCCTCCTGTGAACACTCTTTGACCATAGTTGAGGGTTGTGAATAGTCTTGTTATCAGAGAGCATTGTAACCTGGATTATGGCAGATGTAGTTAGGTTAAAAAGTAATGTCATCCTTTGATTTCCCTTTTGACCCATTTTAAAGCTGTTTCAGTTTAAGAATAAAAGGGAAGAGGAAACACATGTAGATGAAGCCCCTGGTGAATCCGTCTGACCAGGAACTAGGGATGTGAATAGCCTTGCTGTGTGTCATGCAGGACACATTGGAAAGTGGGTTGTTGCAGACTCAGTTAGGTTACAATTTAGCACCCCATCACCTGATCTCCCTTATGATCCATTTACCTTTGCTCTAGTTTTTAAGATTTCCTGCTTTCTTTTCGATTTGGAGTTTTGATCTATTTTACTTTATTGTTATTGTTAATTAAAGAAATGTTTATATGTGAAATCCAGGATACATAAATCTATGAAGATGGTACCTGGATTAATGGTTCCTTGTGGGTATAGCAGGGGAAGTTGGAGGGAGATGGGGAGCTAATAACTATCAATACAAGAATGAAAAAAGTGTTCTAAAATGGACTGTGGTGCTGATTGTACAACTGTTCTTTATATGACGGAACCATCTAATTTTATGCTATGTGAATTATATGTGAATGAAACTGTTGGGATAAAAACAGTAAATCCAAGGTGTGGGGGGAGATAAAGCCGAGGGGCCTAATATTAGGTTAATGTTCTTGTATAGAAAGAATGCTGCATTAAAATTAAGGACATCTGGATTCTCGAGTTGGTTCTGTATAGCCTTCGGCAAGACACTTCCCTTCTCTGAACCAAGCTTTCCCCCTTGTGTAAATGAAAAGATGAATCAGATTACAGTATCTCAACATTTCCATCTTCAGTGCTCACTGAATTCTGCGCATCCCCTTTCTGGGACTACAGGAGACAAAGCATTCATCCATTCATCGTGATTAGAAATATGGGAATGAGGCAGTTCGTTTTTCTGTGTCCTAAACTTCCCTATCCAGGTTGGCTAATACCAGTTACCTGATGATTACAATGTGCTGGTTGCCATGCTAAGCAATTCAGGACCATGATTTGACTGGCTTCTCCAATATGTACCTTAGGTGGATATTATTATCATCCCCATTTTATAGATGAGAAATTGAGGCTCTGAGGTGCAAAGGCAAGTCAAGATCTATCCTCAGTAACCCAACTCTAGATTTCAAGCTCTTAAAGTATCTTACTTTGCGTTCCTGGTAGTACCTATGCAATATCCTGTATCTGAGGTAGGAATTTGCACTTGTGGGACTGTTGGTTTCAGATGGGAGAATTGGTGGGGACAATAGCATTGGCCACAAAATGAATCTAGATGCATCAGCTCAGCCCTGAGACCTGCCTTCCTTAACCCCTGGTTATGTTGGGCACTGAATAGAGTCTATGGTCACTACTCAGTTTTTATACCTTATGATGTCATCTGCGTGAGCCACTACACATTTGCTTCTAATATCAAGCTCTTACCTCCTTTATAAGGGGTGCTGTCGCCTAGGTTGGTAATGGAAGAAGAACCCTGGCAGAGAAAGAAAGGAAAAAGAAGCAATCGTGAGGATGACAGTCAGTCACAACAGCCCATCTTTCCCGGTGCCTCCCTACTGATTATTCTCAGTGTATTGTGCTCTTTAGAATTCACCTTCAGTCTGACTTGTAAATTAAAGGAAAAAATCCATTGGCTTAGTTTTTACAAAGGAGTTTCTTACCCATTTCCTTAACCCCTGTCAGAAATGCAGACAAGGATCATCGTTCCCAATTCGTAGGCCAGGAACCCAGGATTGAGAGAGATAGAGACTGGCACAAGATCCGACTGTCCTGTCAATTCAGGGACCGAAAGCTTGGATTCTTCATTCCTAAGTCATTGCCCTTTCCCCTTCACATGTGTTTATTTTTCTCCCTCTTCAATAAATACAAGAAAAACCAAGAGTAGTGTATGTGTGGGTTTTTTTTCCATATTTGATTCATTGAATAGTAAAAATATGTTGCAAGCAAACCTGGAAAGGCATAGCTCTGTTTTTCCCGTGGTTGGAAATTCTGAATTAAGTGTTTATAGGCCAGACAGTGTGATGATATCATCTCTTACATATATATTTGAAAGTTTATGTACCACACTGTGAGAACAACATAAATAATGAAACAAAGTCCTTAAACTCTTTGATTTGTTATATTTGTATTTTATTAAATAGATGTCTACTTATCAAGATAAATATATATGTAATAAATATGTATCGATTACATGATGTGCTATGGATTATTTATTAGACAATAAGCACACAAATAAGTCAGGACGTTGGCAGAAACAGAATGCCTTCTGAAAGGGACACCCCTCAGGGGGCTGGACGAGATAGAGGCAGGTCCAGCTCAGGTGCACGAAGAGAGATACAGGAGAAGACTCAGGCACAGTTCTCTTCCCTAAGAGAGTCCTCAGAGACGAACTTCCTGGGCCCTTGCTTGCCTCTTTCCCCTCTCCCATCTCAGCCCTGGAGACATTCTTCAAGTGTCCTCCAATGAAGAATGCACGCTCATGGTTGAACCTGCCCAGTGTGCTGAACTAACGTCTCAGGGAAGACGGAGAGAGGTGGGAGCATGTACAACATGGACAAAAGAGCTTTCCAATCTCTACCAAATCAAGAAAACAGTCTCTTTTCTTTGCATTCTGAATGAGCAGCTCGATAGAACCTTCTGGAGTTCCCCTGTATTCTACTGTCTCCCTAGAAGCCATGCCCTTTGCTTCCCAGCGAAGGCTTCTTTTCTAATGCCTGGATCTCTGCCCCAGCCCATGTGCTCCGGAGGTAAGGAAACTTCCCAGAGGCAAAGCTCCAACAGAGCCCTCCTCTGTGCATCACGAGGAAGTCACTTTCGACTTTCGAACTTGAGCTTTTCAGGGGAAGGGAGATGGATTTGATTGGTCAGGTTTTGACTTCTGCTCTCTAATATTTCATGATTTTATTGCTTTGGTTGAGATCTACTTAACATAACTATGGTGTGCATTTGTGGTCTCTCAATTACGCATGCAGTTCATCGGAAAACTTGTCATCACAAAATTCCCCTTCATGTTGCCTCTGTATGATGACAAATCGCCTTGCAGATTGCAATAAACACCTTATTCGCTGCCAGCATGTGTACTGGTTTGTGCAACATGAAAAGACACAAAGGGCCAACTTTAATATTTCAATTTGGTGCCAGGATTGCTGAAGTCGCCAGTGCACTTTCTCCTGCCCAGGGAAGTGTCCAGGGACAACTAGCGAATGCTACAACAGCAAGACCAGTGGAGCCACCCCGAGGACAATAGCGTAGGGAAATTACCAGAGAATTACTCATTAAATGCATGTTGAGTCATTGAAAGACACCCTGATTGATTTTATGGTTTAGCGGACTAGGCAGTCATTGAAAACTACAGATGAACATATACAGATGCAGAGTGTTCCTTAAACTCCAATCTTCATCCAAAACTCACCTAAGGATCTCATTACCATGCAAACTCTAATTCCATTGGCTTAGATGGAATTCCAGCGTCTATTTCTGGCAAGGTCCCAGATGACCTTCACGGACCTTCGACTGGACTATGAACAGCAAGCTTATAAGAGAACATCTTGAGGAGGAAGACTAATTTATATTGGGGGTCAGGGAAAGCTTCACTCTGTCATCTGAGTATTTTGGGTTTTCTAACTTCCAACAGGTGGCTGTCAATTAGAAAGCGTCTTAGTACCAGAAAGCACTTTGCCACCGAACTCTGCATCAGGCTTAGGAAATATAAGCAATGCAAAATCCCCATTTCTGTGATTGAAGTCTTCTAGGCCTGAGACCTCCACAGCTTTCACTAGCCAGCTGCCAATTGCGGACTATCTATCTGTTTGGTGTTCTTTACACTGCCCAGGAGAGATGCTGTCTTCAGAAGCGAAAGGTAGACACAGTCACTGTCTGTTTTTGGATAAACAACCTTGCATTGGGAGATGGAGAGACAGGGTCTCAAAAGAGCTGGTGACTGTTAAAATTTACTGAAGACTGTCGATGCCCCCAGGTACTCTGCGTAGTGCCTTACATCATCTCCTCCAAAGCAGCCATGGGGGTGGGATAGTGGGTTACAAGTCGGGCTGCGAACTGCCAGGGTCAGCAGTTCAAAGGCACCAATCGGTTCCAGAGAGAAAAGTGACCGTTTTGCTCCTGTAAAGATTTACAGCCTCAGAAGCCCTTCGATGGTAAGGGGGTGTGAGTGAAAGTGTCCTAGAATTCTCACCCACATTTTGCAGGGGAATCTTGGCCCTGACTTGGGTTGGGGGGGGGGGGATCAGACCATGCTGCTCAGTAACTTCCCTTTGAGTCAGGAAGTCCACTGGACACACACAGACACAGCCAAAGGTCCTTCTTACTTGCCATTCCCGGCCCCATTGTGTAGCTCAGGAAACCTCATCCCCGTGGTTACCGACCAACTACATTTTTATCTGTTTTAATTTAAGCGTGCTTCCCCTTTCTTTCAGACTCAGTGGGTCATGGTGGGTATCCTCAACAATAAAAATATTCTTCCTGTTTTGGGAGGGCAGACCTGTTATGGCTAACCTCTTAATCCCCGGTGAAGCCCCCTGCTCCCAGTCATGCTTCTTATTTAGGAGTGTTGCCTCTGCTTCTTTAATCACCATGATTAGAAGGCTAATGAGTCTTACCTTTCCTAAGGCGTTATGGGAATAAGGGATTGCATTTAAAATGTCATCAAGTATTTGAAAAAGAGAGCTATTTTGGGCATTACCTTGGCCTTAAGGTAATACGATGCATCATATTTGTTCTAATATTTTGAAAGGCTAGTTTCTTTTCACAGAACAATAATGTGCAGGGACTATGAAATCCCCCATCTGCTTTTGCCAAACATGCCCCTTTTGATGTAAATTTATTGCAGACAACTGATTTCTGGAGAAATTCCTTATCCGTTTCCTCTCTAGCCTTACAGTTATTTTTATAAAGCAGGGTCTGACCCCTGGCCCGTGAGTGCGTTCGTCAGGAATGCCTCTTTTATTTTTAAGCTAGCTTATCCTAAGCTCTTCATGAGAGTTACATGACAGCACTCCTGAGGTTCATGCTTTAGATGCATTATCTCATTTGGCCATTACCTTGACCCTAAGAGTTAGCAATTGATGAAGATTTCTAGGAGTAACCTAATTGGAGGTCCCATAGGTGGTGAATGGCTGAGGGAGGCTTCAAACTCAGGTGTGTTGACTTTGAAGGTAATACTCTTAACTACCACGCCATCCTGCCTCTTTAAAGTCAGGCAGTGTTTGAATCTGAACGCACATTTGAACAAGATGCCCACATGCTTTGACGTAGATCTCTATCTGAGTCAGCTGAGGAGCTTGTTAGTTGAACTGTAGATTCTGATTGGCTTGTCTGGACTGAAAAATGCAAATTCTCAGTGGGTCAAACCAGAATGAATGGTTCTAAGTCCTACAGCAAACTGAGGCTTGATCGGCAAGTGAATGGACTTCAAAGAAAAGCCCCGGACAAAAAGCTATTTTCATTGGGAACAACTGGTTTGGCATGGTTAAAGCAGGAATTGGACCAAACCCAAGTCACTGCCATTGAATTGATAACGACTTGGGGTGTTCTGGGATTATACATCTTTATGGAGCACTTAGCCTCATCTTTTTCCTTTAGAGTGACTAGTATATTTGAACTGCCAACCTGTGATTAGGTGCTCAATGCTTATCCCACAGACATACCAGTGCTGCTTAAAACTTTTTAAACTCAAACAAAGAAATGGCCGTAGAGCCAGTTCTGAGTCACATCGACTGTATGAGGCAGAGTAGAACTGCTCTGTAGATTTTCAGAAGCTGTAAATTCTCACAGTCGGAAACAGCCTCATCTGTCTTCCTCTGAGCCACGGATGGAGCCAAACTGATGACCTCGTGGTAAACAGCCGAACTCATAACCCATGATACCACCAGTGTCCTTTCACACTTTAAAGGGCATAAGAATCAATTTGGGATCTTATTTAATGCAGATGCAGATTCAGTAGGTCTGTAATGAGGTCTTAGTCTTGCAATTGGGCCAGGACCCTCCTTGTGTAGCAAGGGCATAAAGCTCACTCAATAGGCAACCAGAAATCCTCCTCCCCCCAGGCCTGAATATGGAGTTGGGCTTAGATAAGTGGGGCCCCCTCCATCAGCTTGTCTTGTCTAGTCCTGCATCCTTCTATCCCTGTATGATCTGAGCTGACCTCTGTTTGGACACCACCACTGCTCTCCTCACACCATCCATTTGGAGCGGTGCCTCGGCTCCTTCTTTTGCTTCCTCTGGAGTCCCTTACCACCTGACCTGTACTGACGATGGTTCTCCCCCTGGAGAACTCTTCTCTTCAGAAAAATGCTCTGGCAGTTACATCATCTCCTGTCAACTTGTGAAGGGGTGGGGTCTAGACAGTCAATCAGGCCATAGCCAATGAGACCTCTGTGTGGGCATGGCCTTCTCCTGCAGATTGTCCATGGAACTCCTATTTTCCTCCCTGGAGGTGGGGGACACTCTCTCTGCTTC